TTAGTTTTATGATTTGTGCTATTGATGTTTAGGTGGAGGTTGAAGCACTTGTGATTCAAGGGCCAAAGCTAAGCACCGTCATCAGCCAAGTTAAGAAGCTGGAGGCCTCAGTCTTGGTGCTGAGCCAGAGCAAGCCTTCTTTGTTCTCTTGCTGGTAAGATGTTTTCCCCACCATCCAAATCCAAATTCTCTGCAAATTACAACTTCAACCGATAGTTTCAAGGGTTTATTTGTAATACTGGTCTCTTAAATCTTGGTATTTTCAAAATATGCCCTCCAATCTTTGAAAATTACTATGTAGTCTCCCAAATACTGTACGGTACACTGACATTCGGAAAACGTATTACTTCCAGTCGTTCTAACTTTTCCCTTAATTTTAATTTAGCAATCAAACTCGTACCTGATTCGAAATCGTAACCTAGACCCAAAATTTATATCTTCTTCCCACCAACAGTCATCTTCTTCTTCCTCGAACCCATCTTTTAGACAGCCCCTACTCCTCTCACATCCATAATTTGATACCAAACACCTTTGAATCTAACCCATGCACAAGTTTGAAGGGTATAAAGATAATGTTCCCTGCAAGGTTTACCACTAACTCAACTAGGGTTAACAAATTGGATGGAGATACTAACAGAATGACTAATTTGAGCAACCTATATGGTTTAAGGGACGAAATAGCAATTCCAAATAGTTGGAAGGACTAATTTACAAAAAATGAAAGATTTAAGCGACTTATGTCTGAAAAAACTATTTTCAATTTGCAATAAAAGTTGCTGCTGCTGCTGCAAATGTAGTTTTTTTTCACACCTGCAGTTGCAGAAGTCCTTTTTTTGCAAAAATAAGTCGCAAGAATGCGAATCGTTTTTGCAATTTTAGCAACTAAAGCTACAAAAGAGAGAGACAATTATAACTGCAGTTGTAACTATGTTTACAAATTATAATTACAGTCGCAGTTTCAACTTACAACATACCACCAAATATCTACAAATATAATATACCCCACTTCACCAAGTACGGGAGGGACCTAGGAAGGATCAAATAAAATATGAGAGGAGTGATCTGAAAGTTTCAATATTATTGTTTTGATGGCTTTGAATTTGAACAATATTCTCCTGTGGTCAGCTTGTTTAGGAGCAGCAGTGAGGATTTTGTGGAGCAGTGCATCAACAAAGCAGAGTGCTTGACTCTAGCGGTGAGAAAGCAGAGCAAGGGAGTTGGTGGATACTTGGTCAGCACCAGATGGCAGAAGAACTTCTGGCTCTTGGCTTAACAAGCAGCAGTAGAAATAAAGAGAGCCCGACTACTTATGATTACTGTTAACAATAATATAAAGGTGCTTATATTGTATGCTGAGTGGCAGATAGAGCTGACCTGACTTAACGAGGGTCCTGTTATGTTTTGACTATGTTATGGTTGTTGGTGTTATCAATAAATATCATCCCATTATTATGTCATCCAGTTTTCATGGTTTCCATGTAGGGGTGCATTTGGTTCAGATACGGCTCGGATATGATGCTTATCATATCCATATCCTTGGATATCCGCTTAGTCATTTCGGATACGGACATACGTCGGTAAGGAAAAATTCATATCCATATCCGTCTAAATCAAATACGGATACGGATATACATGCGGATATTTAAGCGGATATGCATGTGGATATAAAAAGGATAGGAGAGAACTATATACTATTGAAAAAAATATGTGATACAAAAGAGTTCATTAATATGTTCATTATATCTGAAAAGCTAAGATTAGATATCTTGATCGTCAAAATTGACCTCATATTCATAATGTAAAGACTAAAACCATTGTAATACAATGACTAATATGTATTCGGATATTTCGGATACGGTTTCGGATATTTCACCACAAAACCATATATGTAACCATATCCTATCGGTTATAAATTTGAGTAACCATATCCGTATCCTAACGGATACGGTGACAGATATTTCCTCAGATACGGATATGGTTTAGCACCCCTGTTTCCATGTCATCAAGTTCTACCCAATAAAACATATTGTAAGAAATATGCAAGAGCAAAGATTAAACCAAGCATATAGTAATGCAAATCAGAGTGATCACTATAAATGAATAAAGGGTTAACTGTGGATAGACCTGCTGTATTGTTACCAAATTGAACTTACTATCCTGTAGTTATATATGTTGCAAATAGATCGGAAGAGTTTTCTCCCCTTTATAAATTTATCATTTGGTTTAAAAGAATTAAGAAAAAGGCACCCATTGAAAATAGAGTTCTATTGTTGCAGATGGATACCCTTCTATTGTTGCATAGACCCCTTGACTGAAAATCTTGCAAATAGATCCCGAGAAAAGGGTCACAAAAATTTCATTCAGAGGGTCTACCTGTTACAATAGAACTATAGAGGTAGTAAGTTCAGTTTGGCGATAGTATAGAGAGTCCACCTGGAATTAACCCATAAATTAAGAGATGTTTTTATGATGGGTAAAGCAACGGCAAGTTCTACTAAATAAAACAGATTGTAATAATATGCAAAACTGATATCCACTAAATAAATATCAGCAACATTCTCCTATAATAACTGAAAA